ACTTCGCTGCTCTACTGGGATTCCTATTTTTACCATACCAGAGTGCTGTTTAGGTAGTTGTATGATTGATGCTGAAGTATGCTAGACCTGAGGCTTCATTTTTGCATACTTAGAGAAGTACTTGGCCCTATGTATTTACATCTTTTTTTGGGTATAATTAGGTTCAACCTATCATACCAAAGTTGTTGACATGTTGGTAGTTGGGTTCACACGCATGATAATGTATTCCCACTGCCTCCTCACGTAAAAATGTCCTGTAAAAAACAGGAATGCTTGTTATTCTTTTTGTGCCTTGTTCATTTACTGGTTTCTATAGTTATTTGTAATTGGAGATTTGCACTTTTCGTAGATTGTTAATAACCCCTTGTATATCCCTAATGGAATGAATCCCCTGCTAAAAGACTTGATTGAGGGGCTTTTCTACAAAGGTTTGTCTCTAGATTATTAGTGCTCCATGTGTTTGATTAGCTGATGATACTTAGCAGTTGATTTCCACACACATACTGCCATTCCATTCTTGTGTTCTCTTTTCCTTCTCATATGGTTTTGGTTCATGTGAATCATTGAAAACGAGATTAGAAACTTCGAAAAAAATCTCCTTACTACAAAACTTTTAAAAGCTGATAATTTTAATATTTGTTCCTGACCTTTTGGTGGTGTATGGTAAGGTTTTTGCTTTGATGGTTAGATGAAATTTGGCCAGGACCCTTGAGAAAATAAAAAATAGGCTAGAGAAGGAAAAAATATGAAATTAAAAAAGAAGGGAAAAAAACACAAAAGGCTAGAGAAGCTTTGGAAAAAAGAAGGAAAAACAAATTTTGAACTGAAGGGAAAAATCCCAACCAATGGCTGCGTTTTTTTTTAATGTGAAAAAAGATGATGAAAATTGAAGAGGAAGTAATGGTGATTTAATGGAGGTTCTGATATTTCCCTATGGTTCCAGATGTTTTACTGAAAACATTAACCTCAAAGGTTCATTTTACCCACCGTGTGATTATTTTTTAATCAATTTTTCCAGCTCTTTTTTCCCCTTTTTTTGGGTCTTCTTAAACCTGTTTGCATCTTCTTTAATGGCAGCTATATGATTGAAGAAGAATGAACAACAACTGATGGCAGGTTTTTCTTTTAAACCATATTGTGTGTTTTTTCCAAAAATGTTTGTTGAATTCGTAGCTCACAAAGAGCATTCTTTTTGGTTCCATGGATTTTTAAGAATTAGAGAAATGAAGCATTTTTTCATGATTGTTCATATAATCTCTTTTTTTTAGCTCTCAAAAGTTTCTTCCTTTTCTTTCTATGGTTTACCCTTGCATTGGAACTTATGATTTTTTCGTTAGGTGAAATAATTTAACTTGTTTTTTCATATTCTTGGAAAGTTTTATTTTCCTTTTGATATTGCTAGAAACTCTTCACAATCAAGAAATTCAGAGTAAAAGAGTGTGGATTGGTTGTTTCTCTTAAATTGTTTTAGTTAGTTGGTAATGATTTTGACATTTTTTGCCTTTTTGCAGCCAGCTATTTTATACTTTTTGGGCAACATTTTATGGCCATGTGGGTGAAATTCCATCTTGGGGTCTTCTTTGTTGGATTTGGATCAATATTTTTTTAATGGGAATAGAATAGATATCAAAAGTTTGATTAAACAAGTAGTAGCAAAAAATTAAGTAATTCATGTAATTTTTGTGAATATTAAATAGGAGCAACCCTGATACAAAATTTAAGACCAATTTTTAAGATGAATATCTTTGATTGACTTTCACTTTACACTTGCTTATTATTTGCTTTCTTGTTGTTTCTCTCTTTGTCAATGCCTATTGGTTGTTCTACTAAGTTTCTCTATGATGATTTGTTCTGCTAAGTTTCTGTATGCCCCTGGTCTTACTGTAAAACCCATGTAAATTGATTGAGTAAAGTGATGATTTTGGTTATTTGCTGGTTTCATAAGGCTGAGGATGTACAAATGGAAGAAGGTTATTGATGTTGAATGCACTTTAGTATCTTTTGTGGGTATCTTTGATTAGAGCTCTATGTTGTTAGGATGTTTAAACTTATAAAGCTAGCAATTTCAAAAAATTTGTGGAATTCAGCTTAACATTGATATTGTATAAGTCTATCACATATCATATATTTGTTGATAATCGTCCTTACTGGAAGGCAAGGAATTTTTAACGGTTTCTTGACAATGATTGCTCAAATTTCTCAACTCCTGTTTACTTGTTGTTTGGGTTTTTCAAAATAACTGAAATCATCAATTTCTTGGTTCTTGTTCATGTCTCTGCCTTTGTATTTTTCACTAGTATACAAAGAATAAAATTGCAGATGAAATAATGGTTATGAGGAAATAATTTTGAAGCAGAATAAAGTGGTATTAATTCTATAACACTAACAACTTACAGTGAGGTCTGAACTAACATTATAGTACCAATGTCAACATTTTTTTTTAAAACAACTTTCAAATTTTACTACCTTTTCTAAAACTTTGAACTCATATCTTAAACGTCAATAACTTTTGCAGCATCATTTTGTTTTGGGAATTTTAGCTGTGCTTCAGTTCTGCCGTCAGTTGCTGCTCCTACATAGAGGTTAGTTTTTCTAGCATTCTTTTCTTATCCTGCTAGATTTTTTTTAACCTGTTTTGTATATATTTTTTACTTTATGCTTAGATGTAAATTTTGGGAGTTGAACTTCTTAGGAATTTCCGTTTTGGGTGTAGCTATGTTTGTTCCAATATGAAATCATCAGAAAACTTGTAGACCAAAATAAGTTCATGAAACTGAAATATAGCTAGGTAAAAATCAAAGTTTCATGCGATTAATTATGCCATTTGACTATTAGTTGCCGTTTAGTTTGAGCCTCAAAGACTAGGTAAAGGGTAGTTGTTGAATCAGTATTTTTGTTTTGATTTTTTTTGTCAGATATCATGCAAAAAGTCCAGCATAAATGGATGTGTAATCAACTACAATTGCTGATGTATTCTAACCTGCCATATAATACATGTACTGTTCAACTGCTTATCTTTTAAGGTAAACAATTAAGTTAAAAATTACAAAGCATTAGCATATTAACAAACATTTTGTTGCCATTAACAAAGCATTAAATGCCATGTTAACAAAGCATTAACAAAGCATTAAAAATTACAAAGCATTAGCATATTAACAAACATTTTGTACTCCATTAAATGCCTGCTGATTGGACATTGCCATGTGAGAGAGGCTTGTATCTACAAAAACTACTGCTTTGAGCAATATTAAACTTTTAAATAAAAGTAAATCTGCATTGCCTGCTTGGCAGTGGTAACATTTCCTTTATTTTTGTCTCATATACAATAATTTCTACTCTCTGATAAATGTTACCAACTAGCAGTTGGGGGAATATTAGCTATAGATTGGTTTGTGGTCAGAGTTATTGAGGTTTCTAAGATTAAATTACTCCATTACTCCCAAGTACACAACAAAGTAGAACCTGTGAATGTCAGTTTGCAATTTTGAATTAATATTATACACTTGGAGAGTGGATATGATTTACTTTGACATGAAACGGGTAACTTTTTGTTAGTAATATCATACATGCTCTGTCAACCTTTTTTGCCGCTAACATAACATTCTGCTACAAGGTTTCAGGAGCCTTGTCACTATCACATCTTAATAGTATTTAGAAATCATGTAACGAGTGTTTAGAGAAGCAACAGTAAGAAACACTAGGGATGCTATGGAGCATTTCTGTCCTTGATAAGGCTCTGTAGTGGTTTTGCTAAAAGCTCCAAGTTCTCTGTAGGACTTGTTACCTGACATATTTTAGTTTTGCTCACAGAATGTTGAGCTTCGTCTTGAATTTGTTCATGAGTGACTCAAAACAAAGATGTTTTTGGTACATATCAAATCAGTGCAAACACAATTAGTAGATGCAAGGTAGCACTACACAGTGATATAGTATTCTGAAACTAATGACATTGCCACTTCTGTCCAGTTAGCAGGTAGCGCAAAAAATGACTCTGTCACTTAGCCATCAAGCTCAGATTGTGGAGCTCAGCTCCAAGAATATGAACACTCAATTCAACTTGTAATACACATTTGTCTTTTCCTAAAAGCAAATTGCAGGAAAATTCATGACTGCAGGAGAAGCCAATGGTTCTTCAAAAGTTTGCCTTCGACTCGCTAAAAAGTTCGATGATACAGATAATGTGATAGGAGATGACTCTTAAAATATGGACAGCTACTCCACCAAGAAAACAAGATTAAGTTGAATTCATACTATTCAACTTTTGTACAACTCGAACTTGATACTTTTTGCCTTCTTGATTTGCCATTCTAGATTTGACAGATTGCTTAGAACTTTTTGAAAGGATTATTGCTATATCTACAAATTATGTACATCTGTGTGTGGTTATCCTTCAGGCAACTTTTGTGGCAGAGGCTGAACTATGTTTGGTCTCAACTTTGTATCAATTTTAGATCTCGTTCAGAAGACTTTGCTCCGCCTTGATTATGTCTTTTTTGTTTGTTCTATTTTCATTGTATACAAAAACATGTTACATCTCACATTTTACGCAGAAACAAGGAACATCTTACATTGTATGTAGAAACAAGGAACATCATAATGATCTCGGTAATCTTCTTATTATATTTTCTTAACAAATTACTTATTTTCACTCTTAATAAAATTACAAAATCGCAAAGATATTACTGTACCTTTATGCAATTTTTCATACTTAATATATAAATTTGAATAACTGGGCATTTTTTATCGAGCCTAACAATTACACTCGCATCGCGTGGTGTTTTCCTCCTAGTATACATAAATGGATCGCATTATGTTAGTGTCACTAATGAGTATGTAATCACACTCTTGTTTGGCTTGAAGACTTCTGTGAATCTTTGTAGTCCTTTTGGATCTGAAGCCACGATAATTTCAGATACTTGTTGATAATTGGTAGTTTTCATTATGTGTTAGTAGTTATTTCCCCCGTACCTGATGAACTATTCTTTGTTGATTGACGATAGGTGGTACCAAATGTGTCTTCTGCAATGATGGTAAGATGAAAATGGAAACAGGGATAGTTGATTGTAGGGTCTGCAAAGACGCTGGTTTGATATTTCTGAGCAATAACAGGACTCAAAGTGCATTGTTTACAAACTTGCTATTGTTGCATTTTTATTGATTCGTGTTGTTAACCTCAAAATATCATTTCACAGGTTTGATGCTGCGTAAGAAGTGCGGAGGTTCCGGGTATGCAAGACGTTTGTAAAGAACATTAGAGCCCCCAGAATTGCATTTTCCCCTTGTAATTGCCAATATGGAAAATAATGTCATATCCCTAATTCATTTATTCAAACTTATCTTCTTAGCATCTTTAATAGTTCACTTAACAACAGTTTCCAACCTTTTTTTTTTCTTCCCTGGGGTTGTGGGATTGGAGTAGTATTTTGTTTTTATGTACATTTCACCACTCGGTCAATATGTATGACTTGTGTGACATATTATCACTCGTCTTTTGCCATAGAACACCAAAAAAGGGTGAAAATTGTACTGAAAGTGAGAAAATAGAAGTCCAGGTAATCCATCAGTTCATGTGTCTGGATAGAGTATTATTTGAATATTTGGAATAATTACTATAGAAGTATACAAGGAGGAAAAAAAATAGATAAATACTACAACTTATTCATGTATTAATTGTCCCGTTCCAAATTCACAACTTTATACGATGATTATTTAAGGGCAACTAAAAAGAAACAACAGGTCAGAGCCTTCTATTAATGACTACCAAAAACAATAGTAATAAAAACAATGATCTTAATAATAATTGTTTATTCTCTCTATTTGTCAGAACATTTGTAATTCTTCTTTAAACTGATAACACTCCAATGGCACATCCTATAGTTTGTAAAATATAAAAATCACTCTTAGGGATCCATAAATACCAAAAATCGAAACTTGCAAACTATTTATCAGGATAAGAGAATAATACCTTTTCATTCAAGTTTTTCTAGATTTTGAGGTTGTGAAAAGAAGTCTTTTGCATTGCGAGCCACCTTTGCCTCCAAGACTGCTTCCAAAACTATGTCAGATCCCATCACCGTATCTGATATCACTATCAGCATTAAGTGCTTTGTAGCATAATTGGTCATAGCAGCTTTATCAATAATCTAAAACTATCAAGTTCATACACCACAAGGCTAAATCACGAGCACTTTCAATGGCCCAACATTTACTCAACAAGAAACAAAATATAATATTCCAAGCTTTAGTAATCAATGGATGCAGTAGATTGTGGCCTAACGTTGTGGAAGAAACTAAAAGAGACCAATGATGCATATCCGACAGCCTGCTGTAGACACCAAATTTTTGGTGTAATTTCATTTTTAGTTTTTTATTTGTCGTGTTCATTTTTAGTTTTTAGTTTCCAGTTTTATTTTTATTTTTAAGTTTTATCATAGAATTTGTTGAAAAAGAAAAAAAAGAGAAAAGAAAAGCATTCAAAAAAAATATGATTTAGTCGTTTGTAATTTAAATTCAATGCTTTCTTGAAAGAAAAAATGAAAAATATGAAAAATGAAACAAAAAAGATGGAAAAATGGCCATTTTTGTTGTTTTTAGTTGTTTAGTTTTTAAATTATTTTCATTATTATTATTATTATTACCTGGTTTTTGGCAATTTGTTATTATTATTATTATTTATATTTTATCATTTCTGTATTTATTAAGTTGAAAGTTAAAAAAAAAAAAAAAAAAAAAGAAGAGAAACGCGACTTGTAAGCTGCGTTTTTGCAGCTTGCAAGGGAGGACTTCGGGCAGCCCCTTGGGTTGTAAATATAGAAGAGCTGGCTGAAGGTTTAGGGTTGTGGTTCCTAGATATAAAAGGAAAGCCGCAAGACAGCCGCAAAGGGGGAACCAACGGGGGAAAGAAATAGAAAAAAAGACAGCGGAAGATAGGAGAGGTTGGAGGGGAAGGCAAAAACGAAACAGGGAGAGCAAAAGAGAGATTAGGGGTCCGGCTGTAGAGAAGCAAAAGCTACGGAGACTTATTGAGTGAACGGAAAGGAAAACGAGAGACAGAAGGGAACCATTTTTTGAGAGATAGAAAACAGGGAGGTTTTGGAGGGTAACGGCGGAAACAAAAGTGAAGGAAGAGAGAAAAAGCTGAACAAAGGAGAAGGGAATCTGAAACAAGAGAGAGCTGACGGCTGAGGGCTCCAGGGAGAATCTGAATAGCAAGGAAGGAAGAAAAGGTTTCTGGTTCGTTGTAGCAAAGGAAAAGAATCAGGAGGTGCAGCTGCAAGAGAGCCAGAGAGACAAAGATTTCATCTTTTGGAATACATCAAGCTTCGGTCAAGGATTAAAGGTAACATTTTTTACTTTGGACTGGTTTATAAGTTGCTGAATCATGTTTGAATGCTGAAAGTCTTGGTCTTTACACTTGATTGTGTCCTCCATACAAGTTCTATCTATGAATCTGGTTTGAGTTTGAAGAAAAAGGGGTTTGCGTTAGCTATGCTTGTTTTGTTAATGTCCATAGCTGTTTCTCTTGGTGGTCTTTATGCGCAATCTGGGTTGAAAATTATGGGAGATGCATAATTTATGGCTGGGTTGGAGGGTAGGACGTATGTTCATGGCTTTTGTTTCGAAAAGATGGCTGTTTTCTTGAGTTTTGTGGGCTGCATATGTCTTGAATTCCATTGTTAGATTATGAAAAGAAAATAGTGGCTGAATCCATGTTTTGCATTTCCATTTGAATCCATGTTTCACGGCTGTTTTCCTCCTGTTTGAGAGCTGGAAACTTCAGAAAATTCTGGAGTTTGCGGACAGATTTGATTGCAGAAAGTTTACTTCTTCCATAACTTACATGAAGCTGGCTGCAACAAGCTAAAAGCCTTTGGTTTGTTGCAGCGGCATGGGTCAATTTCTGTGGTCTTTGTCTTTCGCTGGTTTAAGTTTGGAGTTCATGATGTCTTTGATCTTTGGCTAAGCACATCCTGGACATGTTAGCTGCAAGTTACATTTTTTCTGTTGAGAATTGCATTTCCTGCCATGATAATGAACCAAACCTGGAAAATTGCAGCAAGCTTTGATTGCAGAATGTTTCTTCGTTGCCTTGCATGAACTCCTTTATGAGTTAACATAGTTTCCTTGTATGATTTTGCTTGCTTGGATTATGGTAGTTGTGCAGTTGTTAGTTAGTTCAAAGCTTGGAAGATTGATTAAGAAGTTTTCTAATCTATTCTTGGTTGTCGAGGCTTCAAAGCTTAGGAAACAAATTGCAGAAAAACTTTGCTGCACTCTTTCTTCTTTGCTGTTTAGTTTTTTTACTTTCTTGATGGTCAGCTCCAACTTCATATGTGCAACGGCATTGTGTGTTTAGTTAATGTTTTTTGCGCATAAGAGTGGAGCATGAGATGATGTCTTCTTGGTTGAAGAAAGTTTGGCAAGCTGCCGAATTTTCTGTTGCAGAAAACCTGCGACATGTTTTCCTTTTATTGCTGTCTTGCTGTTTAGTTTTCACCCTTGATGGCCAGCTTCACTTCTTGTTTTAATCTTGCAATAAGAGTAGCTGCCTTAATCTTGCAAATGATGGAATGGTTATGCTTAGATGAAATGTTTTGATCAAAAGCTTGGAAATGGAAATGAGAAGTGCAGCAGTTTCCTTTCTCGGTTGATAGAAGTTTGAATAGAAAGTAAATTGCATAAGTTTTCTTGTCTACGTAGCTTGCATGAGTTTTGCATGAAACAATTGCTGAAAATTGCACTTTGATCCCTCAAGTCTCCCCTTGTTCTACTAGGACCCAATCAATTGAATAACTTCATCAAATTGGTCCTTGGCAATTTTAATTCTACAATTTCATTGCTTGTTTGTTTAATTGATCACTATGCTTTGTTTCAATTGCACTTAATTCATGATTTTAGGGGCTTTATGACCAAGTGAGCTTGTGTTTGCCTATTTTCTTTAATTTTCCCAAATAAATTGGTACCTTGACCATTTCTTTTATTTTGGAGGATAAAATAAGTAACTTCACCTCATTAGGGCGTCAATTCAAGGGAGGTACACTCTATCCCTCATTTGCACTTCATTTGACCCTACGTGCTCCTATGTGTTATGTGAATATGCCTGTCTACTTCGCTTTCCTTACCTCTTTGCATGCATTTTTACTTTTATTTAAGTTTTATGGGGTATGTGTACACCTCTTGGCTTGTAATAGATAGGGCTTGGCGAGCAATTTGGTCCATTTACCCTTTCCCCTTTATGTTTTTATGGGGTATGTGTACACCTCTTGGCTTGTAATAGATAGGGCTTGGCGAGCAATTTGGTCCATTTACCCCTTCCCCTTTATGTTTTTATGGGGTATGTGTACACCTCTTGGCTTGTAATAGATAGGGCTTGGCGAGCAATTTGGTCCATTTACCCCTTCCCCTTTTGTTTTAGTTAGTGAATGTAATAGGTTCATTAGCTTGGTTGCATGCCTACGTGTTAAGTGTTACTCGCTTTATTAGGCTCTTGCATCTAGTCGAGCATGCTAATTGTTATGTGCTATGTGTCTATAGGTGTTTGGCATGTCTAATCGCTTTCCATAGCTATGAATGAATGTGATGGATGAATGTACGTCACCACACTAGTCCAATGCTAGTTGTGGCTCATTATTTCATTAGGAATTCATAGAAAGGGCTAGTCCAACGCTAGACCCAATAGGATTTTTCCTTTGTTTTCCATTAATGCATTATTTGTCTGTTCACTACATATCATGCATCTTCCCTTAGTTTTATCATCTGGCATGCTCCTCGCACCCCTTTTCCCCTCATTTTAGGACTTTTGCATCTCATACTAGTTATAGGGTTCATTTGCCTGGAGAGTCCCCTTAAATATGGGATATAGACGAGTGTGGCTTTTTCTAAAGCCTTAGCACGCTTGTATCCTCTCTATAGAAGGGCAAATTGAGTCACGATTTAGGTCTCCCCGTACCCAACATGCATGAATTCCCTAAGCTCATGCATCCTCAATCCACTCTATCATCACACTTTCACTTTTGTCTCATTTGCACACGAACACTTTTTTATCTTCACTTGCACACGAACACTGTTATCTTCACTTGCACACGAACACTTTTTATCCTCACTCGCACACGAGTACTTTCATCTTCATTTGCACACCGACACTTTCACACTTTTCTCTAAATTGCATACATGCATTTTGCCCACTAGCACTTGGAGTATATTTTATACATTCAAGGACATTTTCTTTGCACACTTCCCCTCACACTATTGTTTTTATTACTTTTTCACACAAACGCACATTTTTCATGGCATGCATTCATCTACTCATTTTTCACGTCATTTAGGTTTAGGTGTGACCTCTCCAAAAGGATCATTGTTGGGCTTCACAATTAATGTGATTGGCATCACTCAACCTTTGAAGAGAAATTTCCCCCATGTCCCCCTAGGTCTAGGTTTTTGCATTCATATAGACATATCCAATACGCGATACATACCTTGGGTAGAAAAATTAGGAAAAATTGGTTTAAGTCACGCAACTAGCCTTGGCTAGGTCGAAGGGGTGCCTTGGATTTTTATCCTTGCCTTCCCCTTCGTCAAATGTGACCCCCGATCCCTCTTTTGGTTACGTAGACCCAAAAGTTCTCTAAAAGGGTTTATTTACTTTTTCAGTCAAAAACAAAAAATCATTTTTGGGTGACTTGGTACACCCTAACTCGATACCAAGTGGCGACTCCATTTTCATTAAAAAAACCCTTTTTGAACTTCACTTGGCCAAATCGTCGCATTCTTAAGTCCCATGGCCTTTTACTTTTCATTTTGCACACGTTCACACACACACTACACACTCACATCTCACACCACTACCCACACAACACATCACAACACATCATTCAAAAAGTGGGGCGCGACAGTTGGCGACTCCACTGGGGAGTTCCTAAGTGGGTCCAAGCACTTTGACTTAACCATTTGTTTCCTTTTTCTACCATTTTTATGCATAGCATTTGGATATTAGGATTGCATTTTTCATTTTTAGGACCTTTTGTCTTATGTACGTAATCAAACCAATCCCTCGACTCACGAATGTATGTTTGAATGAAT